TGACGTATCCATTGGGTGCGTGGTGGGAAACCCGTCTAGGCAGCAAAGGCTCTTTACAGTGTTTTGGACAGTGATGACGAGAGGGTATCCCTACTGCTTATTCTTCTTCCCCAGCTCCTGGTCATTGAGCCTATAGGTAGTTTTAGTTTCTAAAGGCTTAGCTGTTTACATGGATCCTGGCGGAAAGTGACATCGCCGATTTAGACAACGGAGCACGGCTCGAGAGCAGTTTAGCATCGACGAGCGACACTGCAATGATCTGCTAGTTGGCACAAGACTGAACTCTATAGCCCCAAGTAGGACGGTGCCTTGTTTCTACTTGAAATTACTTTTGAGCTTCAACGGGATTTTGGAAGATGAGGATAGACCAGTGAAAGGAAGGGACGCTGGACTCACTGTCGTTTTCCAGCAACAGCCCAATTAGGGTTATTGATTGGTCATATCTTCCGCGGGTTGTTTGTGAGGCCTCCTTTCATTTGTAATAAAAGCTAATGATTCTTCCAAAAAACAAACAAACAAACAAACAAACAAGGGAGAAAAAGAAAAGAATATGCAAAGAAGAAATTTCAGGAAAAAAAAAAAAAACAAATAAAAAAGAAAAGAAAAAGAAAAAAGAGAAACAGGCTAATTGCAAAGCCACTTGAGCACAGTACGAAAGGTACAAATAAGATCCTGATAAAAAGGAGATTAAATTAATAAATTTAATGCATAAACATTTTAAAATTGACTTTGAAACAGTGGCTATTTTGTGGGCAAAACAACAACAGCAAATCATGCACTACCGTCTTCCCCCGAACATAACGCACCCTGAATATGAACGTATACAAGGCATGTTTCCGGCCCGGTACAGTCAAAATGAGGTTGCGTTGTGTTCGGGGGAAGACGGTAGTGAATATCAAACTTCATAAAAAAGGGTCAATACTTTTTTTTTTTCATTACTTATTTAACTAGGCTACCAGAGTGGCCCGGGTCCACTTGCCCGCCGGGCCAAAAAGATATTACAAAAAAAATAAAAATAAAAATTGTTTTTTATTTTAAATTTTTATTTTAAATTTCGTAAAGAATTTCGATGTGACCCTGAGGCAAAAGTTGTTCAGTTTATTTTTCTGCACAACATCGTTTTTTTTTTTTCGGATTTTTAGGATTTTTTTTTTTTTTTTTTTTTTTTTTTTTGCCTGGGACCTTCCCTGGTCCCTGCACGGCCGGGCCGCCCACGAAAATAGGGTGATCCGGGCGGCCCGGCTGGTAGCCTAGTTATTTAATGTTTTTTTTTTTTTTTCCCTATTTGTATTTTTTAAAACATGGCCCACTGCCCAAAGCAATACATGACCGAAATAAGAAAGTGGATCACAGGGACCTTGTCCCACTAGCTCCGTTGCGCTACAGGAGGTCAACGTTGGGTTTTCGACGCTGTGTGACTGTACGCGGCGACAACGGAGATGCACATCGTCCAAGTCATCTAGCGGTCCGTTTTTAATAAAAAATTAAAAAAAAGGCAATAGAGACTATCTTTGCTTTTTCTTACAACAAAAAGCAGAAGTAAACCCTTTTCTCTCCAATCCTACTCCCCCTACCCTCACTACTTTCCGTTGCGCTAGCTGTTTTCTTTTTTTCAAGACAGCTAGCTCAACGACCCTCTTGTTCCCCCCAAAGGCCTTTTTTTAGAGAAACTGTACGAGCCTCCTCTTCCGTTTGGCATTTTTGTACCGGGACGGGATTCAGGCAACTGTTCATTTTCAGGATCTGCTGTGGAATGGAAGTGCCCGTATGCCACTCCAAGTGTGAAAAGAGAAAAACCAGAACAGAACAATTGTATTCATCGTGGCATTTATAAATGCATTTCTCATTTGAAATTGAATTAGAATGAATTTTTTTAGCTGTCGCACCGACCGTTGAGCTGCCTCAACTACACGGCGCAAGTGGGACAAGGTCACAGGGGCCATCCATCCTCAACTCCTCACACTCCCAGGTTGACTTATGAAGTTATGAATACAAAAGTGAGAAAAGAAAGGTGAATAGATTTTTCTTTCATTATTTAATGTTTTTTCTCTATGCTACCAGCGTAGTAGCCCGGGACCACTTTCCCGCCTGGAGCAAAAGAAAAAATATATATATATATGATGAGTCGGTGAAACTCCGACGAAACAGTTTGTCACAGCCCCTCGTTTGTTGTCCTCTTCTCCCTCTCTGCCTACGGTTTACCGGGCAGTTCTATTTGACGATATATATATATTTCGTATTTTTAAAATTTTTTAAATATTTTTTTAGTTTAAATTTGGTAAAGCATTAGATGTGATGCTGAGGCAAAAGTTATTCAGTTTATTTTTCTTCATAACATAGTTTTCTTTCGGATTGTTTGGATTT